ACTGACTCGACGGCACATAACAACAACAATAATCATTTAAAACAGCAAAAAAACCACTAAGTATCTGAAAAGAATTTTTTTATTTTTTTAAATCTGAAAGCAACCATGTGGAGAAAATTATAAAATGCTATTGAAGAAAATAAAAATAATAAACCAAACACATGAAAAGATAAACCATATTAATGAACAGAAAAAATTAGCACCATGAAAGCAGACTAATGATACAAATGTCAAATAGTCACCTCTGTTGCAAAGAACAAAGAGGCGCAAAGGGGGACTCCAGTTTGAAAAGACGGTCAAGGAAGGCTTGAGAAGACAAGACCAAAGAGCTGAGCAAAGCGAAGCAGGAAGTCTTTCAAGTGCAGAAATAAAACAGGTCATATTGTAAACAAACAAAAATTCCCCATATACTAGAGAAAGTTCTAAATGTGAAAAGTAAAACTCTACATCTTCTAGTAAAAAGGCAGACTTCGTAAGGCAAATCGGTAGCAAAGACTTCCCTAAAGAACATACAAAAAGCACACTGCACAAGAAAATACAGACAAATCTGACAGCATGCAAATCAAAGGCCCTGTCTAAGAAAAGACACTCACTGTAAAGTTAAAGGAATAATGACGTGGAGAGATGGAACTGCTGGGGGGCAGGCTTGTGGGGCATACCCTTTGGTGGTTTGAATGGTTATCTATTCCTGAGTGCTTCGGTGTACATCCAAACAAAAAAAAAAAAAAAACAGGGAATGGAAGCAAATGCTGTTGAATGATGATGCATGGAGGGGATTGTAATCATTGCAATGAAACAAAATATGATAGGATGAATGTAAAGCTGATGCTCGCCGATGTAAACTATTACTCAATTCACAATAAAAACTTAAAAAAAAAAAAAAAAAAGTTAAAAGGCATGAGCCACCAACTGGGAGAAAATACTGACAAAAGCACACAGCTGACAAAAACTAGCACATAAATATAAAGAAACTACCGAAATAAGCAGCAAAAAGACAAAAGGGAAAAAAGGGCAAAGACTAATCAAAGAAAGGATTCAACTCTTCTGTAGCCAACATAATAAAAAATGAGATTAAAGCAAAAGCCTAAGCTACAAAAGCTATAAGATGGCATTATTAACACTTCTTTTAACGCAGAAAAGAACTATTCGTTTTCTTTTAAATGTTTATTCGGTTACTTGGGTACAGCCATTCTGGGGGATAACAGTTTTTTAAACTACACAAATGGCACCCAGCTGCAGAAAGAGGACACCAAGTCTGGCTGAAGTCCCCTGAAAAACCAAGGAAAGGAGTGGAAAAGCTGTCCACTATTCTGAGGTGTTTTGGCTGACTTCGGTCTTAACTGGACCTTGCCAAGTATGAGGTACGAGGTACCCAATCTCCTACCTAAAGAAAATAAAGACACTGCCCTAGTGTTGCCATGGATACTTAAACTTTAAAATAAAATAATAGTCTTGATCTAGAATAAAGCTTACCATTGAAAAGAGATCTAGGGACACAAATGGAAACACAATTTTACCTCATCAACTATTACAGAGCTCCCTCTACTGGCCCAGAGAAAGCAACGCCATCTGAACAGGGCCAAAGATCAGGTCACCTTAGGAATGCACCCTTCAGTTCTCAGGGGCAAAATAATCAGTCAAACAAACATATATATTTTTTAAACCACCAGCTACCATGACAAATTAGAAGAGGCCTTCCAAAATCCACAAACTGGTATTTTATGCAGACAGTGGCTTTCCAAGTAGTGTGCGTTATGGTTCACCCCCATGGTTCTTACAGGGGCTCTGAAGGGTTTTAAAGAACACTCATATCTTACTTCCCACCTTAAAGCCCCTCTCTCTAACCAGAATCTGACTCCACAGTTTTACATAGACTCAAGATTTACAAAATCAAAACATAGTACCTCAGAAGTAGCAATATTATTAGTCTGGTATCAGAGGCAGGCTCCCTTTAAAAACCACTGGTCCTTTCCTTCTGAAAATTCTGGGACAAAGGTATTATTCTCTGTGATTGTCTGTATGTTTTACTTTTCTGTAATGAAACTTGTAAATAACTCTTAAAACAAAAGTCCTGGTGTGGTGCTGTAAGGTCAACACTGGACCAAAAGAGCTGTTGAAACACAAGGGTCAACAACAACAACAACAAAAGTTGCAAGTACGTCAAACATGTGCTCCCAAACGTGACCTACAAAACCTCCAGCAGTTGTTTATAAACTCAGTTCATTTAATGTCACTCAGCCTGTGACCACTGAGGGTTTTAAATGGTTCCTCTCAGGACTCCGGTGAGAGATGCCTGCTTCTCATTACACATGCTAAAACTATCCACGCACAGAAACAGAAAAGGGCAAACAACCCAGGGGACTAATTAGCACTTAAACTATGAAAATTCCATTTGAAACAAGTGTTTCAATAAAAAAAAAGGCTAGATTTACCAGAACTCGTGGAAGCACATCACATGTGGGTCAGTGGTTACAATTGGCTGCATAATTAAAGCCCTTCCAACAAGTAGCACTTAAAGGCAATGAAAAGAACCAGAGAGTAATAGCCCATTGACAGCAAAACAAACCTTACTAACAAATCACACTGGCTGCTTGAAGAAAAACTTACTTAGTACACGGTATTCACTTCATGATTTAAGTAACACCAAACACAAAATATCTAGAGTATTTTAAACATTGAGTTTAGGAGAAGAAACATAATCGAAGAACAGAGAGTAAGATTTTAACTACTGTCACAAAGCAAACAAACAAAAACTACATAAATTGTTGAACAGAAAACAAATCTGCTCTGTAAACATTCACCCAAACCCCCCCCACACACACACACACACAAAGAATTTAAAGAGCCAGCACAGAGTCTGACATTCCTTTAATCAAAGCTTTGTAAAACTTGTCTGAAAAAAAAAAAAGGTGGGGGGTGGGGAATCTGTAAGGCAACGCTAAGCTCAAAATTCTACTTTACAGGAGGTTGTTGTTGTTGTTGTTAAGTACCGTCGAGTCGATTCCAACCCATAGCGACCCTGTACAGGGTTTCCGAGGGTGTAAATCTTTACGGGAGTAGAAAGCCTCATCTTTCTCCCACGGAGCGGCTGGTAGTTTCAAACCGCTGACCTTAAGGTTCGCAGCCCGTTTCGTAACCACTACGCTACCAGATAGTTATAACAAAAAGGCCCCATGCTTGCTAGAAAGTCAATGAATGAGAGGGAGACTCTCAAAGGTACACGGAATGACACAGTGGCTACAACAATGGGCTCAAACATTCAAACACAGCAGGGATTGTATGGATGGTGCAGGGCCGGACAAGGTTTTTTGTCATAAACTGGGTCAATGAGTTGGAGCTGACACCACAGTACCTGACACCAACGTAATTCTAGCACCACCAGTGATGATATGGTGGAATGTAGACGTGACAGATGAATCTGATCAATTACAAATGTATTCACATAACTACCCTGACAGGGTGAGGAAAAAAGCAGCTGACCCAATTAACTTTGAAAGCAGCGCTTAGGCTGGGTGGTGGCAGCCTTCCCAACCACACCAGTTATGTGCCGTGGAGTCGGTTCCGACTTATAGCAACCCTGTACAGGGTTTCCGAGGCTGTAAATCTTTATAGGAGCAGAAAGCCTCATCTTTCTCCCGCAGAAGAGCTGGTAGTTTCGAACTGCTGACCTTAAAGTTCGCAGCCCGATTTGTAACCACTACACTACCAGAGTTCCTTCTTTGGCTGGGTACTAAAGGTTAAAGACTAAAAGAACTGTTTGAGGGAGCTTCAAAAGTTCATGGAACCACTATCCTTCAATTCCATTTTTCCATTAACTTTTTGAAGGCCCTATGTACACAAATACCATACTCTAGCTGGTAAATTTGTTTCTCACAAGAGCATGAACTACTAATATTGAAAATACTTATTTATATGTATACTGGTGGTGACTGTGTGTTCTCGAGTCAATTCTGACTCATAGTGACCCTGTATCGGGTTTCTGAGACTATAAATCTTTATGGAAGTAGAAAGCCTCATCTTTCTCCCATGGAGTGGCTGGTAGATTCGAACCGCTGACCTTTCAGTTAGCAGTCCAATGCGTAACACACTACACTATCAGAGCTCCTATGGTTGAACAAATAAATATATTTGTAGATATTGGGAGTCATCACTGTAGTGAGAGAGAAGTTACAAATTACAAAGAAAGAAAAACGGAAGATGAGAACCAACCCTGTAAGACTGAATCAGAGCCAAAGGTATCACAATGGACTTCTGCATATATATAATCCATGAGTCAATTATGCCACCTGTGGCTCTGACTTTATCTAGGTATATACACACACTAGTGTATGTGTAGACAATAAGCACACACATACCTATAGATGGACAGATACAAATGTGGGTTCCTATACATATATGTATTTCCTAGCTCTGTCCCTGAGAAAACCTAGAAACAATGATCTTGGTTTGTAAATACCATTCTTCAATAAAAGATAACCAAGACTGCTTGCAGACACAGATGATTGCAGAATTGGAACAGGCAAAATACACGAAGTAAGTTGCTGGGCCTTAGTCCAGCAAAAAAAAAACAATCAGAGAAAAGAAACTGAGATAGGATTCCATTAGAAGGGGCTTGATGCTTTTTAAACTTATCCAGTCATCTTGATTGAATTAAGTGTTGAAAAAAGCTGGGTTAGGAACATAGTGTCACAAAAATGAACTGAAAATAGGTACAGTAAATAGTTCAGCATTTCACTGCATTTGGAGAAAGTTTATGCAGCAACACAATGTATATGGTTTGTCACTAGGGATCATGGGACAAAGGGGGAAATAAGAACATTGTTGTTCTGGTTCAATAGTAAGTCCCTTGTCACTGCTGATCCTTTCTGATTCCACATGCCAGTGGACTCTTCATCAGCCTTCCCAACCCCACCAGAACCTTTGTTGGTGGTTGCATGAACCTGTCTTCTCTAAAATGCTAATGGTTCATCTGAAAACTTAGTATATTTAGCCAGTCTTACTTTTCATGGTCCCTTCCTCTTCCTCATCCTCCGCATTGATGACCATGGTGCCCAGCTGTGATGGTAACGTGTCATCATGCTCAATCATAGTATTGGCTCCATCGCTCATGGTGCTGGCAACTCGGACTGTGCCCATGTCGTCATCCACTGCGCGAACCATTGTTCCAGAATCCAGTTCATCTTCCTCCTAAAAGAAGAGAATCACACATTGGGGCAAATTTGGTCACAAAATTTGGAGTCTTCTGAAGGACTTTCACTCAGCTTGGTGCACATATCTGGATTTGACACATTCATATTCTAAACTCACCTTATAGAACTGGAAGTCCTCTTATTCGATCCAAAGTTCACAGATCTACCCATGTGAGAACAGTACATTTAGCCCTGAAAGAACCCTTTCCCTCTCCCCTTTCTCCCTTCTTAATAGAAACCTGGGACATAAATCTAAGAAGCTGAGGTAAGCACCCTGGAATTTCTGATCAGTGATGCCAGAGTACAAAAGCTACATGTTTAGTATGGACTGTAGATGCCCCAATACAGTATGAAAGAACCAACTCTCAAACCTGAGCACTCTCTCTCCTGAATAAAAAATTGAATGTAAGATATGGGGCCAAGAGAGTAAAATTTATAAGTGCCCCAAAAGGCAATGGAATAAAAACAATTACAGATTCAGTATGCTAAGGTCCAACGCCTCGAGCAAACCTTGGTCCAGGATATGACACAGTGATGGGAGCAGTTTCCAGCTCCAGGCTGGCTGACCCACCCTCTCCTATTCATCTTACCTGGCTTTGCAATCATGACATAACAAATACAGATGCCCAAGGCCCACAGCAAGGCCAACCACTCACTGAGTTCTCTTCATCATCCTGGTCCACCTCCCGCTGCTGGGCTTCCTGGCGTTTCAGTTTCACGTCCATGGCTTCATTAATTAAGTCCCGCAGTATCGACACTCCCTTGGCACTCTTGACAAACGGGTGCTTAAATGAGAGACAGTTTATGTGGCATCAGTGCCAAAACAGTATCTGGCATACAGAAAGCACTTAAATATTGGTTGAATTAGTGGGTATACTTTTTCCTTTTGTGTCGGATCACAGCTACACTCATTGTGTAATCCTGAACAAATGCACATTCGAGTTTTGCTCCTAATTTTACTGCCTGGCTGGAATGTCTACTCCGTTTCTCTCTGCCCCATGTTGAGTTTGTCAACAAGGTCACACTACCCCCTAGAGGACATTGTGCCTGTGTAGGAACTTGCTGCACTTGTTCCAAAGCTTGCAGAGCATAAACGGCATAAAAGAGAAGGCAGGCAGCAACGTCAGCAAAACTGTGACAGTCTCCACTCAGACAATTACGACAGATCTTCCAAATGTCTCAGAGCATATGGGCACTTTAGTAAATAATACCAAAACGTTTCTTCAAGAGATATAAAACAAAACAAAACAAAAAACAGTCCAGTAATTTGGGAAGTGATTTTGGATTACAAGTGAAATTTAAATGGAATAATAAACACTGGTTAGAAATCACAAAGTAATCTCCTCACCCCAGTCTTTCCATTCAGTGTATGAAGGCACCCTGGTGGTGCAGTAGGTTACAGCATTGGGCTTCTAACCACAAGGTGAGTGGTTCAAACCCACTAGTTGCATTGCATGAGGCTGTCTGCTCCTGCAAAGATTACAGTCTCAGAATCTTAAGGGCAGTTCTACTCTGCTCTACAGAGTCACTATGTGTTGAAATTAACTCAACAGCAGTGTATAAGAGCATTTCCAATTACATATTTATTGTTGTTGTTAAGTGCCATCAAGTCAGTTCTGACTCATAGCAACCCTGTATAGGGCTTCCAAGAAGCAGCAGGTAGGTCTGAACCCCCAACCTTGTGGTTTACAGTCCAGTGCTTAGGCTATGGTGTTACACCATGAGTGCAACTACATATTTAGGCAGAAATAATTTTAGTCCTGAAGTGCAATATACTTCAGAAATACTAATGACAAACATAAAATAGACCCAAATATTATAACCAGCAAAGACGCATGAAACAGGGTTTTTAGTGAATTTCACCAATACAAAAGCCACTTTAAATTTTTAATAGGAATGTCATATTTTTGTTGTTGTTATTGGTAGCACAATGATCAGAGTAGAAAAAAAAAAATCCATGCTGTGAAAGTTCTCCCTGGGGTCACTTGTTTCCCAGCCTTGCTCTGATCCTGTCCACAGGGTTTGTCTTTGCAATCACCCTTCAATTTCCCATCGTCTAACAAAGGGTATGGACCCCATGGCCGTTTTAGGTACTTCAGAGATTGAAAGTATGTCTCAAAATGTGGTGGGGCCTCCATACAGAGATAGATTTTTCCAGCACTACATTTTAGAAATAAGACCTAGCTCATTTGCAAGAATATCTTACTTCCTTATTCTCTACTACAGTTAATATCATTGTCTCTTTCTCCTATATACAAGGAAGTGTCACCAGTTATTACTTAATACCTGTTTTTATTCTACTGTCCACCCGAACTCTTTCATTTCTTCAATGGAACAGCTTCTAATCTTACCATCTTAAATCTAAAAGTTTTCAATAATACTTCTGTTGTCGTTAAGTGCCGCCAAGTCGGTTCCAACTCATAGTGATACTGTATATGGTTTCCTAGGAGCGGTTGTGAGCTTGAACCACTGACCTTGCAGTCCAGCAAATAAACCCACAGCATCACACTAGGTACAGATACCTAACTTCTTCATTATGTCTAACGCTATAGCATTTCTATACTGAAATACATACTTTTACTATAAAGTATTGCCTTTATATTTCTGTTATATTACAGGTATGATTTTATGCTTTTTTTTTTCAATTACAAGTATTATAAACTTTATTATATATGAGTTTATTTCTAGAAGAGTAATGAGAGTGTTAGAAATATATAATGGTTATAAAAAGGAAACTTTGGGTCTGATATGGATAAAAAAGTACGTATGGTAGCATAGTGGTTACAAGTCAGGCTGCTAACCTCAGGGTCAGCAGTTTGAAACTACCTCCTGTTCTGCAGGAGAAAGATGAAGGTTTCTGCTCACATAAAGATTTACAGTCTCAGAAAGCCTATACGGGGTCACTATGAGTCGGAACCGACCACCACACATGACCAGCAGCAGCCCAATAATAACAGGAGATATTTTTCCCGTCCCTACTGTACTATCTGTGACACATGCAACGCACTAGTCAGTGTTGCACGTATGGTATCACTTAACTTCACAATACATAAAATAGGTGTTTGATGCCCCTTTCATGGATAACAAAACTAAGGTATAAAGAGATTAATTCACCTGTCCAAGGTCACAAAGCTAGTCAACAGAGAACCAAGATTCAAATCTGATCAGTCTGATTACAGAATACAAGCTGCTATCAGTTAAGCATTGTTGTTATTGTTAAGTACCAAGTATGTAGTCAGTTCCAATTCACAGTGACCCTAGTACAGAGTTTCCAAGGAGAAGCTGGTTAGTTTGAACCGCCGACCTTGTGGTTCAGACTGACCTTGCAGTCCAGTGCTTCTTCCTACAGCACCATATCAGGACTCCATCGGCTAAGCATACTGCCTGCCAAATCTAATTCATCACGCAAGGTCCAGGTTTTGAAGCTACCTCCTCTGGGATAGCACTCTAGTGTCTCCATCCCAAAGTGGCCTCCCCAGATCCTAAGCTACAAAGCATTTATCACTGATGTCAATTCTTAGTTGGAGGTAGACAGACTTAATGGTACTCCTATGTTTGAGTCAGAGAGATCTAGGTTCTAATCTTGCCTCTGCTCTGCCAGTTTAGTGACTCTATATTAATCTCTCAAAGAACAGATTTGATACATTAAACAAAGACCCCAAGAGTTGTGGAATAACATCAAGAACATCATACAGGAAGAAAGTAAAAATCATTAAGAAGAGAAGAAAGAACGAAACAATCAAAATGGATGTCAGAAGAGACACTGAAACTTGCTCTCCAGCGTAGACAAGCTAAAGCAAATGGAAGAAAGCTGAACAGAAAATTTCAAAGGTCAGCTTGAGAAGACAAAGTCAAATATTACAACGAAATGTGCAAAGATCTGGAACCAGAAAACCAAAAGGGAAGAACCTGCTCAGCATTTCTCAAGCTGGGGGAACTGAAGAAACAAATTCAAGCCTCAACTTTCGTTACTGAAGGATTCTCTGGACAAATTATTGAATGATGCAGAAAGCATCAAGAGAAGATGGAAGGAATATACAGAGTCACTGTACCAAAAAGAAATGGTTGATGTTCAACAGTTTCAAGAAGTAGCATATGATCAAGAACCAATGATACTGAAGGAAGAAGTCCAAGGTGCACTGAAGGAATTGGCAAAGAACAAGGCACCAGGAATTGATGGAATAAAAATTGAAATCTTTCAACAAAGTGAGGGGGCACTGGAGGCACTCACTCATCTCTGCCAAGAAATTTGGAAGACAACTATCTGGCCAACTGACTGGAAGAGATCCATTCCAAAGAAAGGTGACCCAATGGAATGCAAAAATCATCAGACAATTTCGTTGATACCCCATGAGAGTAAAGTTTTACTAAAGGTAATGCAGAAACGGCTGCAAGCATACATTGACAGAGAACTTCCAGAGAGGTTCAAGCCGGATTCAGAAGAGGACGTGAAATGAGAGATATCATTGCTGATATCCAATGGGTCTTAGCTGAAAGCGAAGAATACGAGAAAGATGTTTACCTGTGCTTTACTGACTATGCAAAGGCTTTCGATTGTGTGAATCATGACAAGCTATGGACAACATTGTGAAGTATGAGTATTCTGGAACACTTAATTGTGCTCATGAGAAATCTGTACATGGACCAAGAGGCAGTTAGTTGTTCATACAGAACATGAGAACACTAAACGGTTTAAAATTAAGAAAGATGTGTGACAGGGTTGTATTCTTTCACCATACTTATTCAACCTGTATGCTGAGCAAATAATTCAAGAAGCTGGCACCAGGATTGGAAGAAGACTCATTAACAACCTGCGATATGCAGATGATACAACCTTGCTTGTTGAAATGAAAAGAAATTAAAATACTTACTGATGAAGATCAAAGACCACAGCCTTCAGTATGGATTGCATCTCAATGTAAAAAAAAAAAAACAAACAAAAATTCTCACTACTGGAATAATAAACAACATTCTTATCAACAGAGAAAAGGTTGAAGTTGTCCAGGACTTCAGTCTTCTTGAGTCAACCATCAACCCTCACAGAAGCAGCAGTAAAGAAATCAAACCACATATTGCATTAGGCAAATCTGCTGCACAAGACCTTTTTTAAGTGTTGAAGAGCAAAGATGTCAGCTTGAGGACTAAGGTGTGCCTGACCCAAGCCATGGTATTTTCAATAACCTCATATGCATGCAAAAGCTGGACAGTGAATAAGGAAGACCATAGAAGAATTGATGCCTTTGAGTTATAGTGTTGGAGGAGAATATTGAAAGTGCCATGGGCTACCAAAAGAACCAACAGATCTGTTGGAATAAGTGCAGCCAGAGTGCCTCTTGGAGGCCAGGATGGCCAGACTTCATCTCTCATACTTCAGACATATTGTCAGGAGGGACCAGTAGCTGGAGAAGTATATCATGTTTGGTAAGGTGGAGGGTCAGAGAAAAAGAGGAAGACCCCCAGTGAGATGGATTGGCAAAGTGGCAGCATCAGTGAGCTCAAGCATCGCAACAACTGTGAGGTTGGCCCAGGACCAGATCAGTGTTCAGTTCTGTTGTTGGTACTGACTCGATGGCATCTAACAAAAACAAGTTTCTATTTCTTCACCTGTAAGAGTGAAATAATACCCATCCCTCACAAGGATTAAGTAGCACGACAAAAAGCAACCACACACAGCAGGTGCTCACTAAATGTCAATTCCTTTTCTTTAATCCCACACACTCTTATGTTTTCTTGCAACGCTGTATTGTTCAATGACAGAGCAATCCTTTCCAAGCTTTTTCTGCTTGATTAGACTCTTATGTAGAGGCAGGGAATGTCTCCTATGTCTTTGCTATCTCTCAGTAGGTGGCTGTATCTGAATGAAATGGAGACTGGCAGCAGGTCAGGGGTTCATACCTGTAGGAGCTGAGTGGCTGTGGCTCTCTGATCCGGGCTCTTTACAAGACACTGTTTCACAAAATCCGTGAAGTGATCTGACCACAATTCTGGCTTTCGGAATGTGGGAGGAGGGTTTGTAGGAATCATGAAGATTGCCTGGTTTAAAACAAACAACAACAAAGAAAAAGATTCTATTAAAGTGTTGTTTCTATAAAAATCTAACTGGGATTACATTATAAGCTATGTAAAATGGTATTTCTCTTATGCACTGAAAAGTCCATCCAAATTCCAACAAAAGTCTGGCGGTGGTTCCAACTCATAGCAGACCTGTATAGGGTTAAAGAGACTGTAAATCTTTATGGGAGCAGACAACCTCATCTTTCTCCAATGGAGCGGCTGGTGGGCTAGAACTGCCCACCTTGTGGTTAGCAGCCCCAACAACTACCTCACTACACCACCAAAGCACCAACAAAAGTCTGAGTAACACAAAGTAGGAAGTTGGATCATTAGAGAACCTGATCCTCTCTCTTCTCTCCTCTCGCTATCTCTCTGTCACATCTTCACTCACTCTTTGTGCTGTCTTGTCCCCTGAACTTCACAATATTGAAAACATTTTTTTGTTTTTGTTTTGCTAACCACATTACTTTCCAAAGTAGAAAGGCAAGAATACTCACATCCGAAGGTAACCTCACGTCCATAACTGTCAACTTTTCCACCACTACCCATGGCTGTAAGAAATCATAAACCCAAAAGCCCCTAAAATCACAAGGAATTCATTAACTTATAAGAGAAGCCAATCCAACATACTTGAAACAAACAAAATACAATTCAAAATTGGTCTGCTAAATTCTTCAACTAAAAAAAAAGCAATCATAAATAAGGCTAATTATTTCTTGAGTTTCATTTTAATAAAAGAAAAGCCACAGCTTTTGTAAAATAAATAAGTAGCTTAAATTATATTCTTTAAATAAGTAACTTAAATTATATCCTTTAAATCTAAAAATATCAAGCTTCTTTAACCCTATGTATACTAAAGATTATTCTTGTCCTACCAAACGAGACTTAAAAGAAAGATCCAAAGGAATAAACTATTTTCATGCAACCTAGCCACTTCTCATAACAAAGTCTCTGAATAATATTTACAGAAAGGCAAAAATGGTTACTACCCAAAATTATAAATACAAAAATAATAAATATGCAGCATTCATAAAAAGAATTACAAAACTTGCGAAGTATCAGAAAAGAAACAATACTGAAAAGTCAATCAAACAGACAAGAAAATTAGTGCAGATGGTGTGGCGCTGTGGGGTAATGCAATGGACCACAAGGCGGTAAGAGCTTCAAGGTCAGGGGTTCAAAGTCACCAGCTGCTCCTCAGAAACCCTACTCAGGTTTGCTATATTATCTAGAACCAACTCAATGGTACTTAACAACTACAACAAGGTCATTAAAACAGATATTATAACCATATTCTATATGTTAAAAAAATCAAGAAATAATAAAAGTATTATATAGAAACATGGCATTTTTTTTTTTTTAAAGAACCAAATTGAACTTCTACAGATAATAACCACAATGTCTAAATTTAAAATACATTAGTACTTCCGGCAAGATGGCAGACTAGACACATGCATTACTTGGACCCCCTAAACAACAAAGATACAGAAGACAAAATGAAAGACACAGATGAACGTTCTGGCATCCCGAACTTCAGAAGAAAGCTTAGAGAGGGGATGGAGTGTTTTCTGGAAGGAGAGGCTGAGCAGAGATAGCATGAGGGGGAGACTGACTAGTGAACTGCTGGCCAGATGCAGCTCCACCATCTTGTGAGCAGTTCTGGCAACAGAAGGAGCCTGGCAGAGTAGATTCACTCAGGCGACTGAGAAGGTGCAATGTCTTCTTTTTGCCCCGTGCTCTCTCAGTGACCAGGGGGGTAGCCAGCTCCCGTACTCTCTGAAGTTCAGAGCCGTGGGGTTGGGAGCCATGCCAGTGTGAGGTGGGGACCGGACATTTTGGTGACTGGATTCAGGTGAGCTCAGTTTCAGACCCAATGAAGTCCCTATGTTATCTTGGTGTTATCTATGTTCACAGCACTCAATCTGGAAATAGTTTGGAGGGGCCCTTGATAGAGCTAGTTTCAGTGTCTGTTAGGACCACAGGGTAACTGGGGGTAGGGTGACTGGTTAAATGCTGCTCTGGTGGCTCAGTGGTCCTACAAGACACCACAACTAGCTCCATCAATGGTTCATACAAATTACTCTGGACTGAGCGTCCTGATCATCGGTAACACCAAGGTGAATAGGAACGTCACTGTTGTTGTTAAGTGCCGTCAAGTCAGTTCCGACCCATAGCAACCCTGAACAGGGCTTCCGAGGCTGTAAATCTGTACGGGAGCAGATAGCCTCATCTTTCTCCCAAGGAACCGCTGGTGATTTCGAACTGCTGACCTTGTGGTTCGCAGCCCGATTCGTAAACACTATGCTACCAGAGCTCCTTAGGAACGTCATTAAAGACCAGAAACTCTGCAGTCACATCCCTCCCACACCCACCTCATCAGCTCCTTGAATTGCAAGGGCCCCAGAGATTTCTCCCCTGTGGGTTCAACAACAGCACTGTTTGTTTTTACAAATAACAACCTCACAATGCCCTGGAGACAACAGTCAATTTGAGCCATTTTCTCTTGTTTCTTCATGTAAGCCAAAATTGGGATGTTGTTGTTGTTGTTATGTGCCGTGATAGAGGGTAGATACATGCTAACAGGGGTGACAGGGCAGACAATATACAACAAGAGGAAGGTTTGTAGAGGAAAGATGAAGATAGCAGGAAACACAGGGAGGAATGCAATCATTACAGTGAATAGAGATAAATGTTGTTAACTATTGGTACATGGATGGGGATTGCAACCATGTAGTGAAGCAAAGTATATGGTTTATTGAAGGTAAAACACTGATATCTGCTCTGTACACTTTCAATCAATTAACAATAAAAAAGAAAAGAAAAATGACATTAAGGACAATTTGGAGCAAAACACCCAGAACTGCTTCCCCAGACCCACCACCAGCAACTAATTTTAAATTTCAGCCTTTCTAGATTATACATTTAAATACTTTTTTTTCACATGACTAAAAAAAAAAAGTACACTGTGTAAGATTAATGGCATATGATATGACTGGCTACTACAAGAAAAAGCAAGTTGTTCACCAGGAAGCCATCAAGGCAAGCAATCAAGTTCCTTCAGGACAAACCCCTCTCTAAGACTGAAACTCAAAGGGAACACATGAGCAAGTATGTAAGCTTGCTGGTGCCCATGTTGGTCTACTGGTGAGTGGAAGAGGAGGATAGGCAGCAATGAAGAAATGGGCTGACTTCAGCCACACTCCACAGACTCCCATGGACCTGGAGATGAGAGAGAGAAGAAGGGCTGGTTGGTCCAAAGTGTGGTGAGACCTGGAGATACCTGAGCCTATCGACAAGGACATAGCCACAGAGGGCTAGAGCTGAGAGTGAAGCATCCAGCTGATATAGATAGGGATGGGCAACTTAGACACTGGCGACCTAAAATGAGGGAGTGATAAAGGCACGCAGTGACTGGCTTATAAGGTTTCAAGGGGGAGCTTAGTTTAAGAGTGTGTGGGGAAAGAATGAGTCCCCAATGAATAGTTTTCATCTTGTCTAGATGGGTCTGGTTAAAAGAGATGAGGATAAGATTCTTATGATTCAATAATGAGTAATTGTTATCATAACGAATTGCGACTCTCACAGTTATAAAGGTAGAAGTTTTGTAACAAGAACAGGAGAGTGGTTAATCTTACAGTGCAGAAACAAAGGACCATAGGATCATCAAGGGAGAAGAGCACAAGCGGAATGTGGGACCTTATCCAGAGAAGCAGCAACACCAGAGTTGGAGGCAGAGATGGGGACATGAAGAGAGGGAGCAGCTAAGGACTCTAGATTCATGGAAAGAGAGGGACTGAGAGCTGGCCGCCCAGGAGGCAGACTTGCAGAATGTGTCCTTTGGTGGTATAAATGATTATAAATGCCTGAATGTTTAAAAAAAAGGAAAATTGACTAAAGAGAAACACTGGTAACTGATGGTGCATGGAGGGGATTATAATCATTGTAATGAACAAGGTGTATAATTTGTTGAATGTAAAACTGATGATATGCCCTTTAAACTTTTACTCAATCAATAAAAACCTTAAAAAAAAAAAGATTAATGGCATATGAAGGTACTTTTAAGTTTACCAACAATGGAAACTAAAAGATAATGGAATTTTCCACAAACTTTTTGAACCTCTTCCCTCATATTAAATAACAGAGAAGAAAAAGATTTGTGAACTCGAAGGCACAGTAGCAGAAACCATACAATATTTAAGGAAAAAAAAAAATCTAAACATATCACCAGTAAATTCTGTGCCCCTAAAAAGGGGAAGGAGCTTATCTTTGGACATGAGTACACACAGTTTTTTAATCTAGTCAAATCTCCAAATGGGGCAGCGAACTCATCTGAGGAGGGTGGAGTTGGGGTAGGGAGCTATGCTACTGCAAAAACTGTGGAGCCACAAAAGAAGGCAGGGCATATTGTTAAGTGTTGTTAAGTGTTGTAATGAGGGGTCCTAAGATGGGTAAAGCCTGGGGGCCCTGTAGGGTGCTCACATTAGGGAGTTTCAGTGCACATGCAGCCCATGGTCCCCTAGAAGTGGATGGAGGCTAGAGTGCAAATGAAGAGACTCTGGGGACCCACAACCCACAATTTACAAATTCAAATGTCTTCAGGGGCCCCACAAGGAAAAGACAGCAAATCAAACAGGCTTAGTGTTAGAGAAGAGTTCAAAAATGAGTTTGCTTTAATCTTAATATCACTATTGGTAAAACGTCAGTAAAAACCCTGTAAGAGACAACCACCAATGCCTGAGGACACTATAGGTAATCTCGAGGACTGTCCATGTCCTGTATAAAGGAGATCAGTATTGCTTAGCTCCTCTTAATGTCATCATGTTAAAATGGTTGTTGGAGTCAAGTTTGGACTCCAGTGACCCTGTACAGGGTTTCCAAGGCTTTAATGCTTTTCAGGAGCAGAATGCCTCATCTTTCTCCTATGCGATGTCTGGTGGGTTCGAATCTCGGACCTTGTGGTTCACAGTTCAGTGTTTATCATATGGAGCCACCTTGCTCCCATATTAAAATGTAGGCTCTAATATAGTTTTTAACTTCACGTAGGTCAAAGTAAGCATTTCTGTGACCCATGTTCAGCCAGAGGGCTATCGGTACACAACATTAGCAATGGAAAGGGCTGAACCAGGCTGGAATGAACCAGTAACTACATCTAGAGCTGGAGAAATATGATCTTCCAGAGTGACACTTATAACTTCCTTACAATTCATTCAGTCCCAAGCCAAGCCAACCACTGAGCTAACCTTCTAATGATGACCAGTAACTAGCCACCCCCCTGGTTGCCCATTTTCTTACCCTCATTGGGTGGATGTCGGCATATGGGGGTTTTCCTTCAGCCATTTCTATGGCAGTTATTCCCAGCGACCAGATGTCTGCCACACAGTTGTACCCAATTTCCTGAATCACTTCTGGAGCCATCCAAAACGGTGTTCCTATCACTGTATTCCGCTTGGCCATGGTGTCCTAAAGTCCACAGAGGAGAGAGTAGCACTATACATCAGCACTAGTACAAAAAGCAAAGAAAGGCCTTGAATAGGAAATACGTGAATTACATCTAAAACCCACACTGAAGACGTGATCAAACATGTCACAAAAGAAATTCAAATGACCAAGAAATACATGCAGATTATCAATGATTACGACACAAACTGAAACAAGAGACAGTCCCTGGACCATGAATATCTGACTTACATATACCCCGTAATTACAAACCAACATTTGTAAAGCCTGTTATATTAAAAACTCAAGAAACATAATAGCATGAGCACTACTTTGCAACGTGCATCAAAACAATGTAAATACTATGTTAAAGATGAGGAGTCCTGATGTGGTGCTATAAGGTAAGCACTTGACCACAAGGTCTGTTTGAACCTCAAGATCGGTGGTTCAAATCCACCAGCCACACCTCGAAAACCCTATCAAGGGTCACTATGAGTCCAAACTGACTTGACAGCACTTCACAACAACATGTTAAAGATGTAGTGTATCTAGAGTGTTTCTTTCATTTTTCTTTTTTTTAATGCATATAAAGGTACTATATGGAGTCCTGGACTGCTAACCACAAAGTCAGCAGTTCAAACCTACAAGTTGCTCCTTGGAAATCCTATACAGGATCACTATGAGTCAAAACCAACTCGATGGCACTTAACAACAATACACTATATACTAGGATAAACACTTGCATACAGTATACAAGTGTTTGCATAAAGGACAAACCATACCTAACAGTTGCAACTTACATATAAATGTGACTTAAAGACAGATTTAGGAAAAGAACTAGTTTGTAATCTGGGGACACCCTAAATCATATTATATGTTTGAGAAAAATTAAAAACATTAAAAGTAACAACTGCTGGTGGAAAGATACATAATTCCATATGTTACTGGAGTATATAAACTGGTACAACTTTTTGGTAGGTTGTGCTGTTGTTGTTAAGTGTCGTTGAGTCAGTTCCGACCCATAATGACCCTGTGTAGAGCTTCTGAGGAGCAGCTGGTGAGCCTGAACCGCCAACCTTGCAGTTCAAACTGACTTTGCAGTCCAGCGCATTAACCTACAGCACCACACCAAGACTCCTTTTGGTAGGCAAGTTGGTAGTTAATTATTAAACTCTTAAATATACCTATCTGTGATCCAAATCTATTTCTAGGTATGCTCACAAAGGCTGTTGACATGTTTTTAATAGAGAAAAAAGAAAGAGGAGATAGCCCAAATGACCATCAAAAGGGGTAAGATAATTGTTAATAAATATCATGTACAAGAAAAGAAGAAGATACACAGATGCTGGCATAAAAGAAATGTACAAGATACAGTGTGAAGCAAAAACATCAGATTGAAAAAATCAGGTTATACATAACTCCATTTTTGTAAAAGTCGTAACAATAAAAACAGTCATCAGTAAGAAGAAGACATGCAGTTATGCACAGCAAAAAAAATCTGGAGTGATATATACAAAAGTAATATGCATTAAAAGGTAGAATCAGTAAGGACACTGATGGTTTACATGAGCATGTACACTCCAGACAAGAAAGAAAAAATACCTAAAAAGAAAAGATATGTAAACAGTTGGGGTCTGGGACTTAAAGTAGAAGGTGCCCATGACAAACAAACACTTACACACTTTCCCATAACAGTTTGACTTAATAAAAGGGGATTTTCCTATAGGTCTTCCACTTTAGGAAGAGAAGAATCTTAAAAAGAACTAAATATGCAGAGTTCTGGTGTGGCATTGTAGGATAAACACTGGACTGCTAACCCCAGGCCGGCAGTTCAAACCCACCAGCAGCTCCTCGGAAACCCTATACAGGATTGCTATGAGTAGAAACTGACTCCATTGCACTTAACAACAACAAATATGCAACAGGACTTATCATCATCATCAGCCCATGTTCCTTCTCAAATGCCTGTAACTTAGACTGGTTGGTAGCCATGAGGAGCAAACAACAGGCGATATTTTTCAATCAATCTTACTGCTAGTCGATGTAAGAAATTAACACAGGAACTAACATACTACTTAGTATTTTCTTTAGCTAGGAAAAATTGAAATGGTTAGGAGGGTTTTCAAACGGTAGCCGTCAAAGTTGCACTGACCGAATTATTTCAATGAGAAATAGGTACTTGGATAACGGGAAATTTTTTGAAAATTAAAAGTAATGAGGGGACCACGTAAAGACACATGCATGTAGAGGTATATTTGCAGGCATATGTGTATACAGATTTTTGTGTGTTGTACATGCAGCCGGATACCGGCATACCTCAGAGATACTGCCAATTCAGTTTCAGACCACCATAATAAAATGAATACGGCAACAAAGTAAGTATCACAACAAAGTAAGTAATATACATTTTTTTTTATTTCCTAGTACACACCTAAGGAGCTCTAGTAGCGTAGATAAGATTGCTAATCTCAAGGTCAGCAGTTCGAAACTACCAGCTGTTCTGCGGGAGATAGATGAGGCTTTCTGCTCCAATAAAGACTTACAGCTTTGGATACTCTGTGCGTCACTATGAGTTGGAACCGACTCCACGGTACTTAACAGCAACAAGTGCACACCTGTGATACGCAGATGATACAACCTTGCTTGCTGAAAGTGAAGAGGACTTAAAATACTAATGAAGATCAAAGACCACAGCCTTCTGTATGGATTGTATCTCAATGTAAAGAAAACAAAAATCCTCACCACTGGACCAATAAACAACATTCTTATCAACAGAGAAATGACTGAAGTTGTCAAGGACTTCATTCTTCTTGGATCAACTATCAACATTCATGGAAGCAGCAGTCAAGAAATCAAACAACGCATTGCGTTAGGCAAATCTGCTGCACAGACCTTTTTAAATTGTTGAAGAGCAAAGATGTCAGCTTGAGAACTAAAGTGCACCTGACCCAAGCCATGGTATTTTCAATAACGTCATATGCATGCAAAAGCTGGACATTGAATAGGAAGACTGTAGAAGAATTGATGCTTTTGAGTTATGGTGTTAGAGGAGAATATTGAAAGTGTCATGGGCTGCCAAAAGAACCAATAGATCAGTGTTGGAAGAAGTGCAGCCAGAGTGCTCCTTGGAGGCCAAGATGGCCAAACTTCATCTCTCATACTTCGGACATATTGTCAGGAGGGACCAGTCACTGGAGAAGGATATCATGTTTGGTAAGGTGGAGGGTCAGAGAAAAAGAGGAAGACCCCCAACGAGATGGATTGGGAAAGTGGCAGCATCCATCAGCTCAAGCGTGGCAACGACAGTGAGGTTGGCCCAGGATTGGGCAGTGTTTCATTCTGTTGTGCATAGGGTCACTGTGAGCCGGTACTGACTCGATGGCACCTAACAACAACAACAACAACAAGTGCACATCAAAGTTTTGGTCACATGTGCTGTTGCTGTTGAGTGCAGTCAAGTCAGTTCTCACTCATAGCGACCTTATACAGGGTTTCTGAGGCTAAAAATTTTAGTGGGAGCAGAAAGCCTTATTTTTCTTCCTCAGAGCAGCTGATGGGCTCGAACTGCTGACCTTGTGATTCGCAGTCCGGTGCTTATCCCACAAAATCTCCTGTTTACATTATACTGTAGTCTAAAAGTGTGTAATAGCATTATGAAAAAGTATGAAATTATAATGAGAATAATCACAATGACACACAAAGTAAGCACAAGTTGTTGTTGTGCTCTGTCAAGTCTGTTCTGACTCTTAGTGACCCTGCATAGGGTTTCCGAGAGCAGCTGGTAGATGTGAACAGCTGGCCTTGTGGTTAGCACTCCAGTGCTGACCCTACAGCACCACAGCAGAATTCACACCCTGGGAAATATGGCACCAACAGACTTGTTCAACACAAGGCTGCTACAAACCTTCAATTTGTGAAGAACAATATTTGTAAAGCACAATCAAATAAAGCCATGCATGTACATGACAAAGCACACAGAGGGCACAGCTACACAGAGTTCCTTCTGGCTGTTGCTAAGTGCCATTGAGTCACTTCCTACTCATAGCAACCCTATATGGGGTCTCCAAGCAGCAACTAAAGGGTTTGAACCACCAGCCTTGTGGTTAGCAGTCCAATGCTTATCCTACAGTGCTATCTATACACCAGGACTCCAAATACCCTGAAGGCATAGGATCATGATCTAGGGAGACAGCTTAGTCAACTAGTATGACATAGTTCATAACGGCAACACTTCTTCATTTGGTGAGTAGCACCTGAGGTCAGAAAAGTTGAGGGTGGCCATCTAAAACAAAACTCTTAGTCTCTACTTACCCGGTATAAAACAGAATGAAGGCAATCAAAGGTTCAAAGAAGAAACTAGTCCACAGGACAAACTGTCCATATACTAAACCACAGCCTCCTCTACCCTGAGCCCTGAAGAATGACATGGTGCCTAGCTACCACTCCTGACTGTTCTGAACTGGGACACAATAGATGGCCCCTGGGAGAAGGGGAGAAATGTGCAGAACAAAATTCAAATTCCTAAAAAACTGACAGAGTCTAGAGCAAGCCCTGACACTATCACCCTAAGATACCCTTTGAAGGTAGACCTGAAGCTATTTCTGGAGGTCACCTTTCAGTCAAATAACTGATAGGCCTGATAGTGTAGCAGGTTACTCATTGGGCTGCTAACTGCAAGGTCAGCAATTCGAATCCACCAGCTTCTTCTGGGGAGAACAACGAGGCTTTCTTCTTCCACAGATTTACAGCCTCAGAAACTCTACACAGGGTTGCTATGAGTCAGAACTGAGTTGACGGCATACAACCACCACCATAAAATATCACCTGTGAGTAATGTGCTCCTATAGCCAATCAACTATATGAGACCAAAGGGCCAACATTTACTCAAAAGTAATGATGAGACGACAGGAAGGGGAGAGGAAGTCAGAGCAATGGAAATACAGGCAGCCCCCACTCTCTGAAAGTTCACTCTGCACCACTTAGCTTTTACAAAAGATCTATCTGTATTAGTATACTTTCACTAACTAAAAGAAATCCTAAGAGTATTTTTGCTTTTAGATAAAAGGTGAAAAGCAAAACTGGTGGTCAGCATGTGTTCTGCAGGGAGGCACGCAGAACGAGTGATGTCGCCAAGCTCCTTCCTGGGAACTCCCCTCAGCAGCTCAATGCCACATGGCCCGGCTTTGAACGCTGTCTGTGAATACTATTAGAATGATTTTAGACTTGATGTGTTATTTGGTCTGATTTGCTAAGCTGTTGATTGGGTCTGGGAACACACAGAAAATTTCCCATAAAAGTTAATGGCAACTGATTTCACTTTATGCCAATTCAGCTTACAAAGGCTTCCCAGGAAGATTCTATTTTTGGACAGCTGGGCATGCCTGTAATGAGACGGCTGACACGTGGTGAAAACTGTAACCAAAGGCATAGAAGAATCTGTATAAAAATTGTTCAATGGGAACCTAATCTGTGTAAATTTTCTCCTGAAGAACCAATGAGTGAACACTATCCATATTTCTCAGACAGAAAGGAAATAGGATCTTCTCATCTGAACAGAAAGGACATCACCCATTATTTTAAAAAAAGGAAAAAGTAGACAATTCTGTTTTGCACAAAGGACTTGTGGTAGTTTTTTTCATTTTTATTATGCTTGCAAAAACTGAGTAGATAAAATGGAGATTGCTGTTTGCATTCTTATGGAAATTTCTAACAAAATTTGTTTTCATTTTATTCTTACTTGTATAAATCATTATTAACATGACTTTGGAGCATTGCTGCACTTTAGGATAAGCACTGGACTGCCAGCCACAAGGTTGGCAGTTCAAGCCCACCAGTTGCTCTATGGGAGAAAGATGAAGCTTTCTGCTCCCACAAAGATTTACAGTCTCAGAAACCCTATACAGGGCAGCGATGATTTGAAACCAACTTGATGGCACATAACAACAACAACAAGACTTCATAATATAAAAAATAAAATTAAAATTTGGAAGGCAGCTACCTGACCAAGTAATTGGAAGAGACCCATATCTGTGCACAATCCAAAGAAAGGTGACCCAGTGGAATATGAAAATCATCGTATAAGATCATTAAATACATCATGCAAGTAAAATTTTGCTGAAGATAATTCAAATGGTTGCAACAGAACATTAACAGGGAACTGACAGATATTCATATTGGATATAGAATAGGATGTAAAACTAAGGATATCATTGCTGACATCAAACAGATCTTGGCTGAGAGCAGAGAATACCAGAAAGATGTCTACTTGTGATTTATTGACCCTGCAAAAGCTTCAAATGCGTGGATCAAGGCAAGCTATGGATAATAGTACAAAGAATGGATACTCCAGAACACTTACTGTGCTAAAAGGAACCTGTACACAGACGAAGAGGCAGTGATTCTAACAGACCAAGGAGAAACTGAATGGTTTAAAATCAGGAAAGGTGTGTGCCAGGGTTGTATTCTTTCACCATACTTAATCAATCTGTGTGCTGAGCAAATAATCCGAAAAGTTAGATTATAAGAGGAAGAACACGAGGCATCAGGATTGGAGGAGCACTCATTAACAATATGGGATATGTAGATGATACCACCTTGCTTGCTGGAAGTGAAGAGGGCTTAAAATACTTACTAATGAAAACCAAAAACTATGGATTACACCTCAATGTAAAAAAAACAAAATTCCTCTTAAGTGGACCAATAAATAACAGCATGACAAACAGAGAAATGACTGAAGTCAGAGATTTCATTTTGCTTGGATCCACAATCAACACTCAATGTTAGCAGCAATCAAGAAATCAAACAACATACTGCATTAGGCAAGTCTGCTACACAAGATCTCTTTAAAGTGCTCAAGAGCAAAGATAGTTTGTTTGTAAGGGGCACCTGACTCAAGCCACAGTATTTTCCATCAGCTCATATGCATGTGAAAGTTGGGCAATGAATAAGGGAGTCTGTAGAAGAAATGATGCATTTGAATTATGGTGCTGGAGGAAACTACTAAAAGTACCATGGACTGCCAGAAGAACAAATAAATCTATATTGTAAGCACAACCAGGCTACTCCTTAGAAGCCAGGATGGTGAGACATGTTATCTGGAAGGTCCAGTCCCTGGAGAAAAATATCATTCTTGGTAAAGTGGAGGGTCAGTGAAAAACAGAAAGACCCTCAACGAGATGGACTGGCACAGTGGTGGCAGCAAAGGGCTCAAGCGTAACAACAGCTGTGAGGATGGCACAGGACTGGGCAGTGTTTTTTATTCTAATGTGCACAGGGTCACTATGGGTCACACTTGACAAGATGGCACTTAACAATAACTACCACCATCATCCAAGAATGTGGATATAAATTCTTGCCAATTTTAGTGTATGCCTATCCCAAGCTTTGTCTAAATATACTTTCATCTATATTTATTTATTTTACAAAATCAGATAACTCGAGGTTTCCTGTTGGCAATGTGTTTTCACTGCCGTACATCATTCATGAAGCAGCAGGGGAATCAAAAGACTGGTATTCTGGAAGCACATGAGGAGAGCAGTTTCAGTAAAGTAACTTACACGGACTGGCTGGAGGTTGAATGAAATGATGTTGTATCAATCAAAGGAAAAAAAGTATGAATTTCATTTTCCTTCCTTTTTTAATGTGCTGATGTAGCCCTATGGAATTTACACTTCTACCCTATCATTTCTTAAGTGTTTCTTTTTATCGAAGTTGAACATGCACATAGTCAACTACATGGCCTGAAAGGAGCTCTGGTAGCACAGTGGTTACAAGTCGGGCTGCTAACCTCAAGGTCATCAGTTCAAACGAAACTATCAGCCATTTTGTGAGAGAAAGATGAGGCTTTCTGCTCCGGTAAAAATTTAAAGCCTCGGAAATACCATGCAGGGTTGCTATGAGCCGGAACCGACTCCACGGCACCATAACCATCACCACCACCACACGGCCTGAACCCATAAGAAGGACCTAAAATAACCCACTACCCCTCTTGTAATCTGTTAGTAGAGTCTACAGTTTCTTACTAACATGATTAAGTCAAGTGTTTTATTGTAAAGATAAATAAAAGGAATTTTATTTTAAGACAGAGCTGGAAGTGATCAATATAAGCAACATTTATACTTACCGTAAGCTGACCTGCTACCCCAAAATCTGCAAGTTTTGCATGTCCTTCTGTATTTAGCAAAATATTTCCTGCCTTGATATCTCGGTGTATTTTTCTCATAAAATGAAGGTATTCCAGTCCCTTAAGTGTTGACTGTAATATTGTAGCTATTTCATCTTCTGTTAACTGGAAAAAAGAACAAGAAGATCAACTTCTATCCATTTACATCAGCACACAAGAAAAAAGAAAATAATTAGATCCAAACAACTTTCCTTGAATATAAACATAATCTTTTATTCAAGCTGTGAACCACACTCAATAGTCATGGCTTAGAATACCATCAGTACACTCACCATCCCCACCCCCTGGCTGTAATTTCAGCCCAAATTTCTCTCAAAACATCAGATCTATATATCTGCCCACTCAACATCTCTATCTAAATAGCTAACAAGCATCATAAACATAACATGATAAAATCAAATTTTATTTCTACAACCACCCTACCTACCTTTCCTCTCCCCATCCACCCAAGCTACTCCTTTCTCCTGTCTTCCTTCTCTCAATAAAAAGCAACTTCCTTCCTCCAGGTGCCTGAGGTCATCCAAAAGCCTGAGGTTATCCTTGACTCTTGTCTCTCATCAAAATATATGGTCTGACATCACGTGATCCAAGCTGTCCTTATAACCTACCTAAACAACTCTAATCATCTACTAACTGGTCTCCTTACTTTGAAGCAGCAGCCACAGGAAGCCAGACTGAAGTCAGATCTGTTCAAAACCCTCCAAAGTCTTGCTTAATCAATCACTCAAAATAAAAGCCGATTATACTGTCATTCATTTTTATTGATGTAAAATATTCTATTGTATGACTGTACAACACACTGGTCAGGGATAAATACACAATAAAATACATTTTAAAAACTAAAACCAAAACAAAAAAAGGCCCAGTATAGGGTGGAGACAGCAATGAAATCAAATGTGACTCTGCCACGTCATCCTGTGAGAAATTCTGTCATAGGGTCACTGAGTCAGAAGTGACTGGATGGCAGTAGGTGGTTTTCTGTTTAGTACAAACACTGCGTGGACACCAAGGAGTACAAATACCACTTGTATGTTCGAAGAAGTACAGCCAAGCCACTACGCCACTATAGACCCAGTATTTTTATTTGTTGTTAAGTGCTATCGAGTCAGTTCCAACTCATAGTGATCCTGTATAGGGTTTCCGAGGCTTTAAATCTTTGCAGGAGTAGGAAGCCTCATCTTTCCCGCACGGAGCAACTGAGGGCCTTGTGGTCTGCAGTCCGGTGCTTATCATCTGGAGCCACCACACTCTTAGTATCTATATTACTCAGAATAAAATTCAAACTCATACCCGTGGCCAACCTTATCCAACGTAATCTAACTCTGCCTACCTAACGTAATCTCCTACTAGTTTCCCCCTTCAGCCACAGAGTCCTTTAACTATCACTCAAACATGCCAAACTCATCCAGGCTCAGGGTTATCACTGGTTACTCCCCCACCTAAAACGTTCTTTCCAGAGTCTTAGTGTCTTCTTGTCATTCAAGTCTTAACTTTAAACGTCACCACCACTGAGTGACCTTCCTCAACCACTGGTCTAAAGTGGCCTATCACTTCCCCTGACTGGATTCTCTATAGCAATTACCACTAGCTGGTATTTCTTTTACGGTTATCATCAATTTGCTTTTTGTTGTCCTATTAGAAAGTATGCTTCCATGAGAGCAAGGTTAATGTTGGTCTTAATTAATACTGGATCTCAAGGGCCTAGAACAGTACTCTGAAAATTTTTCTGGATAAAGTAATAGTTTATAAAAAACTTAGTACATGACTTCAAACTTATTCTAGCTCTCATAGTAACAGAAAATAATCTTTCATAATGGCATTATTCTTTGATTAATGATGAAGTTGAGTTTTAGATTTTGAGTATATAGAATGTTGTTATTGGTGGGCCATCAAATCCATTCCAAATCCTGGTGACCCCCATGTGTGCAAAACTGCTCCATCGGGTTCTCAAGGTTGTGACCTCTCGGAAGCAGATCACCAGGCCTGTCTTCCAATGCACCTCTGGGTGGGTTCGATCTGCCAACCTTTCGACTAGTATTTGAATGCTTAACCTTTTGCAATACACAGGAACTCTTAATATACAATGTAGAAGTTAGTCTGTGAGCATGCTGCATGTGAGAAGACATTCAAAGCCAAATTTAAACATTTAAAATTTACAGCCAATTTGATAGTTAATTTTTCTCCCAGTTAAGAAATAAAAAGAAACTGGAAAAGTGAAAATACCACAGAATTGTGCCAGAAGAATTTTTTGAAATGGTATATATTGTTTGCTGTGTTTCTTTTTATACACATCAAAAATTTTAAATGTGTAAGTCAAAAAAATCAGGAAATAAGCAGAAGACACTGAAAATGACTGGATTGGGTAGGTGTCAAAATTGTCACATGGAAGACGGGTCAAAGAGCAAACAGTAAAGACCCAAAGGAGAGAGGAAAGTCGCCAGCCATTCCTAGATATGGTAGTAGGAGAAAGGACATGGATGAATACCCAGAGGAAACGTGATGGCAGAAGAGACAAGCTCAGCTGCCTGGGTCTAGAAAGGAGACTTACCGTTTTATTCCGCAATCGAATGATGTCAGACACAGAGCCAGCCCCACAGTATTCCATAACAATCCACAAGTCTGTGTTCTTAAAATAGCTGCCATAATATTTGACTACATGAGGGCTAGAGACAGACAGAGTAGGATACAAATTAGTGGAAGAGACCTCAGGCATCTTGAATTCATGCTGTCAAATGCACAAAGAATCATCTCTTGTTCAAATGATCAATTCAAACTCATGGTTAAGAAAGGTGCCTGCCAGGTAAAAATGTAAAGTAGAATACTTTTCTGTTGTTAAGTGCCATCAAGTTGGTTCCGACTTATAGTGACCCTATATAGGGTTTCCAAAGAGTGGCTGGTAGGTTTGAACCACTGGCCTTAGAGTTCAAAGCCAACTTTGTTGTTCAGTGCCTATCCTACGGAACCACACCAAGACTCCCAAAGGACATTAAATAATAAAACACTCCAAAAATATGTAGGTCCAGCATTTCTAAAAAAATTTTTCCTAAGAATTATGAATATTTATAAAAATGAAAATGTAAGTACCATTTAAATGCCCACCATTACAGAATTTAGGAAATAACAATAGATCTACATAATGAAATATCATAAATCTATGAAAAATATAGCAGAATATGTAATATGAGAAGATACTCTTTTTATGAAAAACAAAAAAACAGATTATGGTGGTGGTAGCGTGAGCTCTGGGAGCATAGTGGACATGAATCGGGCTGCTAACCTCAAGGTCGGCAGTTCCAAACTACCAGCTGTTCCATGGGAGAAAGATGAGGCTTTCTGCTACCATAAAGATTTGTAGCCTCGGAAACCCTGTGCAGAGTCACTATGAGTTGGAACTGACTCCACAGTACTTAACAACAACAAGTGTGCCGTCAAGTCATTTCCGACTCATAATGTGCCCATGTAGAGTTTCCAAGGCTATAAATCTTTATGTGAGCAAAAAGTCTCACCTCTCTGCTGACCTTGTTGTTAGCAGGCCAATATGTTACCCACTATGAACCGACTCGACAGCACTTAACAACAACAACAACATGCCACCATAGCTCCATTACAAAAGAATTTTGTTTTTGTTAAGTGTCGTCAAATTGGTTCCAACTCACAGCAATCCTGTATAGTGTTTCCGAGGAGCAGCTGGTGAGCTTGAACCACCAACCCTGAGGTTCAAACCAACCTTGTAGTCCAGTGTATTAACCTGCAGCACCACATCAGGACTCCTTATAAAATAATGAGTATAGTAAAAAACAAAAAGAGATATGGAAGCTATATAGACCAAGGAGTATTAAGCAATGCTTGTTTCTCTAAGGGAATTGATTACAAGTGATTTTATTTTCTTCTTTTTATTTATT